CGGTCTCCCGGCAAGTGTGGTAGGGAAGTGCATGTTAGAGTGTGTGCGTGTGTGTGTGTGTGTGTGTGTGTGAGAGAGAGAGAGAGAGAGAGAGAGAGAGAGAGAGAGAAAGGACTGTGGATAAGACAAGGAAGAGGAAGGAAATATCGCGCGCGGTTTGTTGCCCGTTGGTTAGGGTATTGCTCCGACATTCTCCTGGTGGGTGTTAATCGGAGAAATCACAAAAAACTGCCGATCACAGCAACCGGCCGCTGGAGTTCTCCTCCAACTACCGACTGAATTCGACCTAGCTGGCAACCTAATGTTGAAAATCCTGCCACCGTCGAAACCAGGACCTCCCGGTCAAACGCACAGGATTGAAAACGTTATATTTATGGAGTACAATATTAATATAAATTAACACATTACTTAATCACAAGGTACCGACTGAGAGTTCAGAGATTGCATTTCTGCAGTTGTTCTGACCGGGAGGTCTTAGCATTCCAGACCCAACGGTTGGCAGAATTTTCAACACAAGCTTGATAGAAAGGGCAAATTGAACCGCTGTTTGGATCATAGTTCTAATGGCGGGCTGCTCTGGTCAGTAGTTTTCTATGTTTTGTTTTCAATTAATACAGGGAGAATGCCGAAGCAGTAACCTAAAAAACTGACAAAGGACCGCGCGCAATCTTTCCTTTCCCTTCCTTGTCCTATCCTCCCCTTACAAAACACACACACACAGACAGACTTTCTCTTACAATTAGAAGCGTGAAAGTACCACACTTGTGAGGAGACCGGCGTGAAGCTTAGAGGTTGTCTCGGCTGTCACGATGGCTTTGCTGGAGGACATATCTGTAAAAACAAATCCTTCGCATACAACATGTAGGTTGGTGCCGGATCTCACCATCCAGCAGGGGAAAAAGCACCGCCGTCTACAGCCCAAAAATATCACTTCACTTACGGAACTAATAACCATTGCGGTTGATGTGCCCGGGAATATCAATAAATCAATAAATGATTAATAATAGACGTGCAAAATTTATCTGAATCGAAATATACGCCGTCCTGATGGTTCCAGTAATACCCTTCAGTTGTATTTTCCCACTCAGATACTAAGTAATATTAATAAGTCGGACATTATCGAATTTCTGTAAACGTTGTGAAATTCGTGGAACTTGTTCTGCATCTGCACAAAATATTTCTTCGGAAATATTGTCTTTATTCCTGTTTATGCCAGCAATGAAACTTCATATGCCATCTCCAACCCCATCTCCAACTCTAGAGAGAGAAAATATTTACTATTGCGTGCTAAATCTCTGATGGAAACTCTATCTCGAAACGAAATGAAATTATTCATTTCATTAGCGAGAATTTCTAATGAGAGGGTTTAATCAAACCGCGTAAGGAACGAAGCGGTAGTGTTTATGGTTGAAAACGTCTCTTATGTATACTACGATCTTTGTTTATGAACTAAAAATTTACTTGACTTATTTTTCAACTACCCTATCACGACGAACTATCCGCCCACACAATTAATCTTTGCGGATGAGCGATGATTCTCTCCTCACACTTGGCTGCCTGAGAGCCCACAGGCTCATCTCGGCAAGACATTTTTCTTTATTAGCCGTGACTCTTAGCTCATAGATACCGAGTGTGGGGACGAATTATGGATATATGGCGGCTGTAGATGAGGTAAACGGGACTGTCAAAACGCCTACAGGCCTTAATGGAAATATCCGCGTTTAGCGGAATTCAAAACAACACCGTCTGAGTCGGCCGCTGTTACTTTCGTCTGCACTACCCAATGAGGTTACAATTATTACGGCCGCAAAGCTTGCAGCGCTTTTTAATTTATTTAACGATAGATTAAAACTGCGTGTGACGTATAAGAGACGTATTTGTAATGGTGTACAATAAATGTTCCAGTTTGCAGATATCTAAGTTGACATAACTATGTAATAGATTTTAGCCATCAAATGTAATAAATGATCTTAGGAGCATATTCCCGCCAAAAAGGATATCATAATGATTATAATTACTTGACAAGTAATCATTTTACTTAACTCAAAAGCTGATCTAAATTCACCGAGGACAGTTTATAAACAGTTATACATAATTATAATTCTCAGCGCACTCCAACTCGCATACTTTACTTATGAATGATGCATGTACTCTTGAGATAATGATGTGAGAGACCTAAATTTGAGTAGTTTTTTTAAATCATTATTATAGAAACCATTTACTATAATAACGATATATTTGAAACTTATTGAAGCTGGTATGATGCGAAGAGATAGAGGGGTGTAAGTAATTTGCCCTTAATTTTACAGGAGAGCGCCAATAAATAATGCAAATAAGAGTGGTTATGTTTTCCAGACATGTTATATTTTTAGTGAATAAGCACTAAATGTCGTTCTTTATGTAAAACACTGAAAAACTGTCATAGTTAAAATACATACGAGTTTGAATTCATATTTTTCAAGTAACTTTGTGGATTGAATGAAACAACTTCCTTTGTTCTTTCCTTTTTTCTTCTTTTTCTTCTTCGTCGATACCATCATGTTCTGTATCTTGTTACTCTGCAACATCAACCTGCTGACAATCATTACAAAGAGTATTACCGGCGATGTTTGTCTACGTACCTTCTACACGCAATATTCCTTGCTCACCAAACATATCAGCAGCCACACACACATACATAGGAAGATCAAACGCCACGTGCTCTCAGCAGGAACACTAACTTCTAGCACTATGTCGCGGGGCACATTCGGCTCACATTCCTGTTTCTGCTCTGCGCGCAGTGCTGCTGCTAAGCGGCCACTCCAAAAGGTAGACTTGCGACATTTTCCCTGACGACGTATTGCGCCCAGGACTATTCAAATAGGAAATAAGTCAAAATTACGATTTCAGTGACTTATACCACTCTACCTCTCAGCAGCTCATACTATTACGTATCCAAATAAAAGTGTAATGTGTTTGGATGTTATGTTTCTGACAAGTATCTGCTTCTATGTTTTAGTGAAATAATGAACTATAATAAAAATTGGGCAGGGCTTGATTTCTGGTGGAACGCAATGGAACGGCGATTCGGTACCTCGAGAACAGACTAGAAAAAAAAGCAGAGGACAAACACTTGGCAACTTCGATTTTTAGTTCCACCAACATTCATAAACTCAAAATTAAATAATTTTCCAATTAACTGTATTATTTCTGAAAACATATTAAAATTGTTAAAACTATTTTTTAATTTCCTATTATTATCATTTCGCTCACGAAGAGCTAGTGCTACCACTGTTAGTAATTGTTATTAATTATTATTGATAATTATTAAATTAGTATACTACAGATTTACAACTATTTCGATTAAATTAATGAAATTAATTTGCGGTGCGTTCCGGGACCTATTTTTTTTAAAATCAAGCTCTGACAATTGTCAAAATTTCAACACACTTAAGCTTGAATATTTGTTTGTATTGAGCCATGTGGTAATGTGTTTGAGCGTGCTGATTTCCTGAGTGTGAGCGTTTCCGTTGCGGAGCGCCGTGCTGAGTGCAGCGTGTGTGTTGCAGGAGACCGCGACCATGGAGGCCCGCGACGGCCGCGCGCTGCTGCGCACAATGTCCTTCATCTCGTCGCGCGCGCGCGCCCTGCGCCAGCGCTTCGGCGCGTCGCAGCCCTCGCTCTCCGACACGTGGACGGCGCCGGCGGACGCCGACGCGGGGCCGACGCTTCCTCAGCGAGGACCGCGCCCTGGCGTCGCCCGACATGGGCGGCTCGATTGCTGTCGCTGCTGGAACGAGCCCGGGCCCGGGGCGCGGCGTGGCCCGCGCCGGCCGCCGCGGCCGCCGCCGCCGCGGCCCGCCGCCCGCGGCGACGACGAACGCAGGAACGGGCGCGGCGCCGGCGCCGTCTTCCGCGCGCAGCGCTCAAGTCGGCTGGACTCGCTGAGCGCGCTGGGCCAGGACGGGCTGCCGTCGCCGCCCGCTGCGGGGCCCGCTGCCGCTGTCGGCCGCTGCCTGGCGGCGCCCGCGCGCCAGCCCGCCCGTGCAGCCCGCACGCGCAGCATCCCGCGCCCGCACGCCGCCGCTCTCGCCCGTCTCCTGGCCGGCTTCCCGGACCTCGTCCATCCGCGGCATCCGCGGGGCCGCCCGCCGTCCACCATGCAAGTTCTCCACCATCTCCCGCCCCACCACGCCGCCGCCGACGTCGGACTCCTACTCCCCCCGCTCACGCCTCGCTTCCGAGTCGCCGTTCGTGGCCGCGCATCACCGGCCCGCCGCCTGCCCCGCAAGTTCTCCCGGCCTCCACGCCCCAAGCTGAACGAGCCGCAGTCGCGCGGTTCAACATCCCCAAGATCCCGGTGGCGCCGCCCGTGGTCGCCCAGCCTCGCGGCCTCCACGCCCAAGAACTTGGGAGGCCAGGCTTCCCCGAGCTGCCGAAGCCTTCGCACCCTTGGCTTCCGCCGAAAGTCTCTCGACCGTCGACGGCCAAACATCTGGAGCATTCTCGCCGAAGCTACATTATTCCACGCATCCGCGGGGCCCCTGCGCTTCGCCCAAGCATTTCACGCCCGTCGAGCGCCAAGGAACGTGGAGAAGGTGGAGACGTTGATAATCTGCGACGGCCGCGACGACGCCCCGCTTCCCGCGGCCAAGCCGTCCCGACCAGGACGCGAAGGAGAGTCCCCAGAGGCGGGGGCCGCTGGCAGGACGTCCCCGGGCTGGGCGTGTCGGCGGCCCCGCCCTCCCCCGCGCTCGCCCGCGCGCACGCCGGCCGCCACCCGATGCTGCACCGCTGGCGCCAACGCTGCCCGTGCGCGGAAATGACCTGCCGCCGAGGGCATCTCCTCACCATCCGACGGCCCGTCGCTCTGGCGGGCGCCAGCGGCCTCGCCGGGCCGCAGCAAGGTGCAGAAATCGCGCCCAAGTCGCCCGGGCGCGCCGCCACGGGGCCGCTGCTGGAGGCGAGCGAATCCGGCTGCGTTCGACTCGGAGAGAACCGCGACATCCGTGGCCGAGGGCGGGCTGACGCGCCCCAACCTCTTCGACCTGCGCCCTCGGCCCAAGCTCAAGCAGCAGTGGTCGATGGACGAGACGCGCGCCGCGGCGCAGCGCGACCTGGCCGCCGCCGCCGCCATGAAGCCCGCCGAGAAGCGGCGCCGCTTCTTCATGCGCAAGCAGACCAACTCGGCGCCCGACTCCTTCGACGGCGTCACCGGCCACATCCCGCCGCCCAAGCCCAAGGAGCACCACTCCGTCAGCTTCTGCTTGGGCAACGTGCGCAAATGTCGGGGATCCGACAGCTCCATCCAGCCGCCCGTGCTGCCCACCATCAGTGAGTGCTTGCCGACGGTCTGAGAATGCGCTGCCGCTTGCGTCGATCTGTCCTCGTGTTCGTGTTGTTCTTTTGGGTAGGTGCTCGTATGTGGTCCTCTTGTCTGTTGTCCTAGAATGTAGGTTCGTTGTTGCTCGATAGTAGTGCAGGTTTACAGGAGCGTCCCCAATATACAGGTGTTCTCAATATATAGATGTCTTAGCGAATAATTAGAACCAATTATTAAAAAAACAATTTCTTCTTTTCAAAATGTATACAACGTTTCTAATCCCATAGATTCAGATTATTTTTCAGGTATATTCTCATGAATTCCGAGTTTCCATCACCGTTTGTTGCTAATTATTAAATGTTGTAGATGTTTGGTGGCAAATACACCCAACACATTCCATGACGTCCATTTAAGAGACGGTGGTTGGAAACAGCGGATGTCCGTGGTAACTGTGCTTTGAAATAATGAAAACCAATTTTTAAATACTTACCCAGACATCCGTTGTCCACCACCACGTCCATAAATTCCACCACCACCATAAATTGTTTGTTTAATAATTGGTTCTAATTATTCCACAAAAGTGATGACATAAATCAATATTACAGGTGTCTTAGGATTGTGAGTAGGTGTGAGAGTTGATATACATCATTTTGTTACAATTGCTAGTATGTATGTCATGTTGATTTATGGAAATGGTTTATCAAAATATTTTCTTCAAATTTACATCAAATTTTAGACCTATATAGTAGGTTGTTTGTAGCTAAATAGTTGCGCGCTGTCTAGAGGAACACGTGTTCTCAATATACAGGTGTCTTTGGACTGGGAGTAGATGTGGGATTTAATATTCAGCAGTTTGATACTATTGCAATTACGTATGTCGTTGCGTTTCATGGAAACAGTTCATCAAATTACTTTCGTGAAGATTACGATGTTTCTTATATGTGAAAAACAGACACATGAATTTATCATCCTATATCAAACTCAGTTGGCGAATATTTGCCTCTACTTTTTAATATACGTCTTCATCTACTGCCTGTTTCGAGAAACCTCGATGGTGTTGCAATTCAGAGCAGGATGAGTAATAATTTTCTCTGTAAATGTTCTGCTCTGCGGTATGAAGAGTTTTGTTGAAAAAGATTTTAATGGCTCTAATTTGGTTTATGATTGCTAGCATCTCTCGTAACAAGGGATGTGTATTTTGCTTGTTGCGTAAGTTTCAGGATTTCCGGGAAATTCTTAAGCGCGTTTATCGGTCTACGCGCAGTTAATAAGTGGTAATGCTCCAGCGAGAAAAATACTACAAATAAAATGTTCCAAGTGTTTTATAATTTTTACAGCGTCCTTGTCAAGCAAGTGCATTGTAGTTTCTTTGTATTTTGCAGCCAAATCGTTATAAGACAAATGTGTGTTGTGTTTCGTTTCATAGATTATTGATTTGCTGCAAGAATTTTTAATAGATCTCAGAATTGCCAACCAATTATTACTCTGTGTATATGTGATTTTAAAATTCAAACAACCTCGTTCATACCTGCACAACGAAACACTTCCCCTCACGTTAAGTCAAGTTATAAATACATTTTTCAAACTGAATGTTTTGTTAATTATATTAGAACCAGACTAATACGAAATAACACGTATGTAATAAAATTAAATAAAAATGAACGAGGACCCTAAATTGTATTAAGAAATAAAAAATGCATTTTAAATTATATTCAATATCTAAAATAGATAGTGTTTTTACTCATTGAACATTAAATCAAAAATGTTGATATATTTTAAATTTAGTAGAAGCTTGATAAAAGTATGATTTACTGAGTTAATGAAAAAGTCTAGTTTCTTATTTTCATGTACTATTTTATTTGCCATTACGAATTGGTGTACTTATTTTAACCGATAATTCAAAAACGATTGAATTGTGAAAAGAAAGTACACCATCCCTTCAGATATGGTTACCTCGCACATCAATTTAACGAATTGTAGTTGATAGTATTTCCATTCTGAATATAATTTTAAGACACGATAGTTTGCTCACCCTAAATACTAAATGTTTGTATGTTCTATGTTTGTTACGTCTTTACTTTTAATTTATGAAAATTATTGTATACGATAACTCATATTGAATTTGTAATATAATTATGAGTTTATCCTGTTCTGTCAAAAATCGTAATAGTTAAGTCGCTAAATGTTGCAGAAATTCCAATAATAATTTGTTTGCAAAAACTTATTGGTCGACTACTAACACCAAATTCATTACTGCAAAAACTAAATAATTCTTCCAAGCTAATAAAAAAACAGAATAATTTCTGTGAATGATGGGTGTTATGATGTTTTCGTGAAACCGACATCATAAGGTGATATACACGTTGTAAGAAACCTTGCACTTTTTATCCCGTATTTTTCGCGTTTTATTCTTCAAGATTTCGGAGCCATGCGTGCAAAGGTTCTAAATGCATGGTAATCTTACATCAGAGCTGCGGAATAGATATTTGAAGGCGTAACTGCGTACGGAATACGTATTTTTGCAGCTTTCCATGCTCCCTGCGCTATAATGCATAATTCATGTCTCTTCCTCCAACTTTCAAGAATACGAAAGTACCGGCTAAATATGTATTAGATTTTGCCATGCCACACAGCTTGCATGCAATTTCAAATATGTGAATGTGTTTTAGGTGATCGCTCTTGCATGTCCGATCGCTGGTGTCAGAATAGTATTGTTTACCAGTTATACACTGGTATAAGGAAATGGTGGACGTTTGTGTGTTGTTCTGAAATCAAAAATTGCATACAAAACTAGGGTGTACTGGGATACCGCAAAACACAAAACAAATTAAATAACTTGTTGAAAGCTAATAGAAATTCACCAATACAATTTCCTGTAAGAAATGTTCCTCCTAGAGGAAAACTAAACAAAATTGCAAAGTATTTCGTGATTTCAAGTTTCTAAGTTACGTTATTGTGTAGAAAGTGATATATTATTGTTTGTACATTATCAGTTACATGATTTGAAGGGAATTACAGTAAAAATTTCGGGAGCCCAATATATTTCATCCTCCTGCTCCCCCTCATCAATCAACCATAAACTATCAACCTTTCATACAACCGACATCTATTGCTGATGTGTGCGCTAGGGGGTCCGCTCCGCAACGAAGAAATAGAAACCCGGTCCCCGACGATCTCACGCAAGCCGACGCGGAGAAGACTTCTATCCCACGGGAAGATGGCACCAAACGTGACGCAAGGGTCCGCCGGAAAGGGTAGTTGTTTAAGTTAAAATGGACACCCGGAACCACCCTGCGGGAGCCACGGAAGCACGTGAAGAGGAAAGTTGCCGCGATTTGGGGTCGCACTGTGCCGGTTGGGGGAGGGGGCATGGTGACCTAAAATAAATAAAACATAAAAAGCAGCTTAGCGAGGCGCTTCCGGTAGGCTTTTTCCCTTTTAAAAGTGTTATTTGTGTTTTGCAAGTTCACAATAAACAGAAAATTTGACCATAATACAGTTGGGTAGTTCTATCCATCCTCGTGCATAATGTACAGAAAGTTGCATGGAAAAGTATCGGCTGAAATATATTTTTAAAAAGTTTATGTTAATCCCAAAACAAAGTTTAATTCTCCTCAATCCCAAGAATCAAGACCTAATATTTCATGATATGCCGGAAAGGCCATGTAAAAATTAAGTTTTTCCATACGTGTTACCACTGTAGGTGCCGCGAAACCTTCAAAACCACGGTTTTTTTAAGAATTTTTCCACAATATTCTAGAAGCATCCAACTAAAAATGACACCATACGATCCAGAGGAATGGAGTAAGAACAACTGCATATGCCCTAAAACGTTCCAATTCGCAGGCGGATGCTTGAACCCACTTTCTCCAAACACGTTTTTTTTTTCTCTCTTAAAATCTTGTAGGAGGATCCAAAAAGAGAATGGTCTGTTCTCCACCGTTATTCTGAGACATGTCGAACGTCACTTTAGGTGGTGCAACATCACCTTAGGTGTAACCGTGAGTATGTATCGATTCAAAGGTGTGCGCAGTTGAACTTCTCGTTATGTGGCAACTGACAAAAAAGAAACCTTTTTTAGTAGTTTTTCTGGATAGAATTCACTTATTTGAAGGAATAATGCATCTCTAGTGTTGATAAAGCAGTATATACTCATTGGGCTGTACTGCATGCCCGATTTCTATGAATCTATAGTTGATTCGTTTCCTATCCCATTTGTATCCCCCTACTTACGTTCTCCGACAATATACCAAGTTGGGCTGAGGGAAAATATGAGTTCGTGCTCCCTTAATTTGCGTTCCATTTTTTTTATTTGGGCTTAGTTATCGCAATACTACAGGACTGACAAAGTGTAATTTTGCACAATTTTTTTATTTTTCGCCTTTTATACACTTCACTTATCATCTCTTTCTTCCGCCTTCTCTGGCATACCTTTTCACACACACGCACAAACAATCACACACACAAATTCTCCAGAATTTTGTATTGTATCTCTTTTAGTTAGAAATTTCCTCTCCGTCTCTTCACTGTTATCCATATTTGAACCACAATTCTTAGCAGTAATAGAAGCCCTGTTTTGTGTTCACACAACCGATACTTTGTGGACTCAGAATCTTTACTTTGAATGATACGTTTTATGTTAATAGCGTCATTCGAAACGTAACATATACGTCTTCTTCGGAGAAGTGACTTTCAGAATGAATATGATTCATTTTAAATTTTCTTTCGGAAACTATCGTACCATTTTTTTACGTTACCTTCTGATTTTTCAAGTTAAATTGTGCATTTTATAGTCGATAAAATATACTTTTATTTTGTATATTGTGTTTCAAAAATCTTTCGCCGCAAATATAGCACTATTAAGCCATTTCAAAATAGGTAGATGATAAAACACGTTTAATTCTCCAATGCTAATTTCACGCAGTGCCCTACAATGAATCCTAGAAATATTGTTAATAATATCCTCTTAACAGTACTTTTAGTCAAAATATCCATCTAGTTATCATTTCTAAAGGAAGTATGAATATTCAGAATAATTCAGATAACTTTTCCTGTGCGATAATGCCCTTGAATGACTAAAAACGGAAATAGGACCGAGCTTCCGTCTCGCGTGTTTTAAATAGTGGAAAGTGACTCCATGGTTTTCATTTATGAATTTCATTCCTACCGCTGGAATGTAGGTTTGTTTTTAAATAGAATTGAAGTACCATTCTCTTTTTTGTTGGCATGACGTTTCACATAAAAATATTTACAACATAGTGAAAAGTTCTCGTACTACTGTAGACCCATCTGGAAAATATTATCGAGAGTTTAGGCAAATTTATATACGGAGAAAATTTAACTAACAAGAAATCATTGTTATTTTAAAATAGAAATTATTATGACAGAAGATACGGAATAATTTCATTTTTTCAGAACATTGTTCTCTAGATAAAAAGAATTTTCGCAAATGGGTGAATCGTTGTCAGCAATGCATAGAAGGCAACTAAAAAACGATCAGAGCAGTCTTTCGTATTTTCCCCTTTTTTTGTTAGTGACGTTATTAGTTCCAACCGTTCCTCGATCTCTCAACAGTCTCCAACATCAATATCTGCGTCCAGTAGGTCTTGCGATAAGACGTGATATACGGTGACCGCGCGGGTGCTGGCAGGCAGAGGAGATGACGAGCCTCTGACGATAACGAGGCGGAACGGTCCGCTGCGTTCTTGGCACCATTCCGTGCCACTCCGCTCTCCACGCGTCTTTTTGCTCAGCCCTCCCTCGCTGGAACACAGCGCTCTGTGTCCCCAATCTCCGCCGCCCCCTTGCGCATCGTCTTGCGAATGACTTGCACACCATGCGTGTCCCGAAAATGCGCCATCCCGCCATGCTCCGCTCCGCCACAGAATAGTGAATTTTTAATCCTTTTATTTTCTTTTCTTCCGGGGACTTTTCCCAGCTTTCAG